TATAGTGTTGGAAATATAAATAGGGAAGAGACATTTTCGAATTTTTTGGCTATTCCCCTTGCGATGATTTAATATTTATTATTTTTTTATGAAAGTGAAATACTATGTAAGTAAAATCTTGTACAAAAATTAGCGAAATTCGGCAAACTTTCATCAAAATTTTGAGCTTTTTAATTAGATAGATTTCTTGAAGCATTCTGAGTATGCAGTTTTATAGCCCATTTGATTCAAAGTGTAAATTTTAAATGACTAGGACTTACCGTTGACTTTTGTAAACTTTTTTGTGGAAGGTGTTGCTCATTTTATCCATACTTACTTAATACTTTTGGAACACACTTTGTATGGAAGAAAATGCGCGAAAAAAATTGCCAAAAATCAATGGTAAGTCAACGTGTGTTAAAATTCGTAGAATTTTTAAAATTTTCTACAAAGTTTGAAATTTTGATTTACGTGTTTGTATTTTTAACATAATAAGTTATACTTTCATATGAAATAATAAAAATTGAACAAAGCAAAATAGCCAAAACTTGCTAAATGGTATTACCTATTTACATTCTCGCCACCGTATACATATACATATGAGTGTATAATTTTTTTTCCATAATTTTTCAAGTTTTTTTTCTCTTCGTTTTGTTTTAAATAAAACTGTCTGATGTCTTTTTAATCTAAAAACAAAATTGTATGTTCGGATTCGATGCTTTAGAAATGTCTCGATTTTTACCAACCTAAATCTATGTATGTATGTATGTAAACTTACTATGTGCGGCTGCTGTGTGGTTTCTAGATTTGGGCGTTAGAAACTTATGCAAAACTGATGGCACCATTGAGAGCATCGCATCTATTGAATCGTTGGCTGGTTCACTAATCATCGGCATTTCACGAGAATCAGCTGTTTTAAAAATCGAAAAGAAAGGCATTCAGATCTACATATGTATGTATGCATAAAAAGGGATATATGTATGTATATACAAATCCAATTGCCGTATGCAAAAGTACATGCAAATGCATATTTCTTACATGTACTCGTAATAAATCATAAGTAGACACAAGATGCACCGTTACATAAGAATGCATGTATGTAATATACAAACCCCCCCAAATTTCGAACATATTTACATGTAAATGTATACTTACTGTAGTTAAATACATGCAGCTGCATTAGTACGAATACCACGAGTGATACCACCAGAATTCCACGTATGTAATAGGTATTTCGTTTGCGATGCATGAATCCCGTGTTTGGCAACGGTAAGGGTATTTTACGAACTGTAAAATAAAGTTAACGGAATAAGAAATGCCATTAGAAAACTCTTATGCCGAATTTCCACTAGGCATTTAAATGACAGAAAATGTATGCCATTTGGAAAATGCCATGTGAAAAAATTTATTTGAACAAATTAGGTAAAAGGCATGATAAAAAAAATAGGAAGGTAGAACCGCTGAGGAATTTTTCAAATTTTTGACGTTTGCAAGCAATTTGATTTTAAAATTTCACGCATGATAAAAATATAGCAAGGTAGAACTGTTCTCTCAATTTGTCGGCCATGATTTTTTTTTTTAAAGTTTGCCAACATTTTAAAATCATATAAAAGTGAAAATAAAAAAATGAAATTGTTCGAAATTGTTGTTGCTTCCCACTAGAACCTGAAGAGAGAACTCCCAAATTGAGGCATAAAGGAGTACTCCCTTTGCCATGATCGCGGAGCCATAAACGAGATTTATCAGTTTTGGTGTCCATTATTGTTCGCTTAGGAGCAAAGAGCGATGTCTCCCGAAGCTAACAAAAAAATAATGCTCCATGAGACATGATTTGAAATAATAAATGAGATTTTTCGGTTTTGTACTCCATTAATACTCAGTTCGGAGCAATCAAAGAAATCTTTCTATGTTACTAACAAAAGACTTCTCCTTTTGACATTTCTTCAAAGCAATAAGAGAGATCTCTACTCCATTATAACTCATTTGGGAGCAAAAAGCGATGTCTCCTAAAGTGATACATCCAGGAGTATTATCTTTACTTTATATGGGAGCAATACACACTTCAATGTTAAGAAAGTTTTGTGATTTTGAATAATTTATCAAATAAAAACAAACAAAATAGTATAAAATAAATCTTAAAGGGATTTAATGGAAGCACGCGTTTATACAAATTAACATGCGGCATAAATTTAAATACATACATCTTTCGGTACGTATTGCAATATTTAATCAACATATTGCGTATTATTTACAAAAGTAAAATATTTTTCAGATTGTCCAACTTCTATATGAAAACGAGGTTTAAAATGTCGATATCCTTATGTTGGCTGTCGTCCAGAGAATCAGAAATTCTATATTAATGCTGCATCAGTCATCGCTTTCGATTCTGCGATCTTAAAACAATTATCCTTTCTCAAGACCTACCCATAACGGGTGACATAAACCCTAATTACCTTCTATGTAAACTTAAAGCACATGAGTGACGGCACGATAGTCAAGAACTGATCCCACTTGCAATTACTTCTGCAAAGGGAGCCATCCTCGGCCCACTGGACTAGTAAATTATAAACATACACATGTATGTGTATGTATGTATATGTGTTTCACCGTTTTGCCAATCTTTTATGAATTTGTGAATATATATTTATGTATGTATGTATGTACATATATGATTAACATGCGGAAAATAAAATAAACGAGTTATTCTAAAATGCACGTTTAATATTAATGTAGTCTCACTACTAAATCTGTGAGGGGTTTTTTTTTGAGAATATCAACTCGCCCTCCTAGGACATCACGTGTTAAAGGGAGCATACAAAATAACACGCTTATACACAAAAGAATAGGGAGCAATGGGGAGTAATCGTAGACTGGTAAAAGGAGTTCTCATCGAGCAATCGAACGATGATCCCAAGTTCTACTGGGTACACACTAGAGCTCGGGCAATTCGGATAATCGATTAACCGAATTATTCGAATCTGACTGAAGTCGACTACTGTTAATCGGTTAGCAATATTCGAGTAGTCGAAAGCTGTCGACTATTCGGATAACCGTTCACTTTAGATTATTCGGCTAACCGTTCATTTTCGGTTAATCGAATATTTTAAGTTCGAGTTTTTTTTGCATTTACAGATACATATACATATATGAAGTCTTGTTACATTCGTAGTACATATATAAGATTGCATGAGCAAAATTAAGGCAAACTTTTTTTGCAAGAATGTGCGCTAATTATTGAAATGTTATTGCGAAGTATTTTAGAGACAATGGCTAAAGCAATACCTACATGGGCGTAGCCAGGTAGGGGCAGGGGGGTGCTCGAGCCCCCCCTAACTTTCAAATTTTCCTTATATATATATAAAATAGTACCCTGAAATGCCAGCTTAATAGGGTCGAGCCCCCCCCCCCAAATTTCATTCTGGCTACGCCGATGAATACCTACCTCTCATTTTCGCGAGTTTTTGTTATGGATTTTTGTTAAATGTTTGTTCAGTGAGGATGTGGATGATTGTAGCACAAAACTGCACCACATATGGAACATGTTACTTCCTTTTCGTCCTCTGATTTTTCGAAAAAATCCCAAACCCAGCTCCTTTTGCGTCCGCTCATTTTTGTATCTGAATATACATACATATGTGTGCATGTATATATTTAAAAAAAAAAATTTTTCATTTGTCAAAGAACTTTCAATGAAAGTTCGGTTACTGAAATTCGATTTGCTACAATGCTCGAGTAGTCGAAGCAAAGCAACTATTCGAATAATCGAAGGCGGGCGACTATTCGAATACCATTAACCGACTAATAAGCACGCGAACGGTTACGAATCGAATAATCGGTTAACCGATTAGTCGAATAGTCGGATAATTTTACGAGCCCTAGTACACACAAACTCACACACACATTCTCATTTTCATTCTCAAACAACAACAACTTTGAACAATTCCGTTTTTTTACTCTCAATTTTATACGATTTTAAAATGTTGGCAAACTTCAAACAAAAATCATGGCCGACGCATTGAGAGAACGGTTTTACTTTACTATGCTTTTATCATGGGTAAAAGGTATGCAATTTTAGGAAAAAGCATTTGCTTAGGTTTTATGCATACGGACCAAAAACTATTTTTATAAACGTAATGGCACGGGTCTTTTTTAATGCCCAGCATTGTCATTAAAAATTTTGTAATTCCATGCCTAGTTGCAGTGGCGGATCCAGCGGGGGGGGTTGGGGTTAAACTACGTGTCAGTCAGTGGCGGGCACACGGGGGTGTTTAATACATAGACGCCATATTATACATACATCTGCGCCATATAAAAACACCCCCCGTGGGTCCGCCACTGACTGACGCGTAGTTTAACCCCCAAAACCCCGCCGCTGGATCCGCCACTGCCTGGTTGAAACTCAGCATTAGCTATGTATGAACCAAAGTAACGAACGAATGATGGCTACGTTATTACCAGGGAACGGATTTTTAGGACCTAAAAACCTATAAAAAGGGCAAAATAAAATAACGAAATAGGCTGAAAAAGACAAAATAAAATAGCGAAAAATGCAGGAAAAGGCACAAGGTATTGCAAAAAAGGCAAAAAAAAGGCAAAACAAAATAGCGAAAAAGGTAGGAAAATGCACTAGGTATTGCAAAAAAAGCAAAATAAGGCACTAAAAAAAGACAGAAAATACGAAGAACAATCAAAAAATACATTTATTTAAGAAATGTTTATATTACAAGTAAAAAGAGAAAAACTATGAACTTTTCATAATATGAAAAATTTGTACTTTGAATCTTTGACTATTTTATCCTTTCGAGTTTCTAACTCATAAAACTTTAATCTGTATAGTTGTAGTAACATTGAACCACAAGATGCATTTTGAAGTTTTCTGGCAGCATTTTCATTTCAATGTACTAAATGTGTGCTCGACGTAAGTTGATACCAGATTTGTGAAAAATGCATTAATTTTTTAATGCATTAATGGTATTTAAACCAATGCAAATGAATATTTCAATGCATTAATTCTGAAAAATGTAATGCTAATGGAATTTTTTTTTCATTAAATTATCCAAGCTAATGCTAATGAAAAAATTTTAATGCACTAAAATGCTTAATACTTTTGCTCGTTTGCATTATTAAAAACCATTAAATTTTTTTCTAGTAAAATATAAATAACCTCTTTTGGAAGGACTTGGAATAATTACTAATAGTTTTTTCACCTTCATTATATTATGTGTATTTGTAGAAAAATTCTTCTAAACATTGTTAGATGTTTTATGAAAATGAAAGCCAACGTGCATGCAACGCAGAGTGCTTTCGTAGATTTTTATGTTGGTTGTTGATGCATACCGATTACATATATGTATTAAGTATGAGCCAAAAACGGACAGATAGCCAGTTTAGCAACGCATGTACACGACTGAGGGCCTACTCTGATCTAAATCAATCAATAAACCGTTTTTTAGTTCCATTTGACAATGTGATTTTACCTATTTAACAACAAATGCCATTGAACTTGACATAGTGAAAACTAGCCTTAACGTCCGTCACTATCTTTTTTGACCTTAAAATTCTACCCTCAACGTCAGCAAAGGTTTTTTACTTCAACATAAAATTAGTTAATGGGTTTTTAATGCTTGTTATAATTTTAATGCAATAAATTATTGCAATACATTCATTTAAACATTTTAATTTTAATACACAAAAAAAAATCATTAGCATTATTTCTTCGGAATTAATGCTTTGAAATTTTCATTTACATTAAATATCAAAAATTAATGCATTAATCTTTTTCCTTTACATTAAAATGCTATGCATTAAAAAATTTAATGCATTTTTCACAACTCTGGTTGATACAAGTGGAGCTCAATTTAAATATGGAACGTTTGAAACGTTCATATTATCAGGAATAAGAGCGTTTTCATCGTCCTTTACAATTTTATCCACATCCCTTATTTTCTCTAAGCCTACGTTAGCTGAGAAAACGGCTTTGAATTTTTCCAACACCAATTTGGCAAGAGGTCCCTGCGCTTCTATAAGCCGCATGGGCATGTGTATATTTTTTAATCTTAAAAAAAAAAAAATTGTAAATGCTATAATCACTTTTTTAAAGGTAGAAAAGGCAAAAAAAGGCAAATATTTTAAAAAAGGCAAAAAAAGGCAACATCAAATGTGTATATATGGAATCAGGGAAAGCTAAATCGTGGACATTCTTAATCGATTATATTATATATATATTATCGAGTAGAAAAAAAGGCAATTTACATAAAATCCGTTCCCTGGTTATTACAAATCTCGCACAAGATACTCACCCCTCATTTTTGATTTTGCAGCTGCCGCTTTAGCGTTGCTGCTGCTTGGGCTTGTGTTTAATTACAGCCCAATGTATAATTCGTTGTACGCTTAGCAATCATCAATTCGGTGACTAGAAAGAATCGAAAAATAATTTAGTATAAATAATTCCATTTATCACACATTCTTAGGTATGCACATATATATGTATATACCCCGCCATATTATACAATTTTACATATCGCACACGATCTTTAAAAGTGACACAACTCAAAATTTGGCATTTTCGAAATTATGCATTAAAAATGTGCACACAGCTTTTATTTACTTTCCAGCAAAAGCTGGAGCAAATCTTTTGTTGTAATTTGTTGAAAAACCCCTAAGGTACAGTCTCGATTGTCTATATAATTAGCATGTGCTAAGAAACGTGTCATTTTGAGTTGTGTCACCTTTGAAGATCGTGTGCGATATGTACAACAAAATAAATTAAAGGCTTTGAAATCGAAGAAATTAATTGAAAGTATTTTGGAGTTGAGATTGAAAAGGAAGAAATAAGGCAACATGAATCTTTTCGTGTGAAATTGCTGACCATGGCTGAGGTTGGGAGGGGTTGCCCTGAGGGCGGGGTAGTGGACTCCCTATTAAGGGAGATACAAGATTTCGTTCACACTTTTAAATAAATTTAAAGAATGTGTACCACTTTGCCAGGCCTTGCTGCCAACCTCAGCGGGACAACCCTCACGCGGAACAGAAAATTGGAAGCCTTACTGCATAGAAAAGAATTTTAAAGATAAAATTGATTTTGGAACTAAATTTAGCACTTAAATTTTTTTTACTTCAAACTCCGAAATAGAGTTGTACAGTCCCAAAATTGGTACCTCGCCTGTGGGATATGATAACAATTCCAACGCGTCATTAATCTAATAAAAAGAAAAAGTTCATTCGTATGAATCCGGAAGTGACAATTCAAAATAACAGACAAAATTTGTTTTACTGCACTGCATATGTTCTACTATTATTTTTTAAGTTTTAACCAACATCATATGTGTGTAGTACTACTACTGGTAGAAAAATAAAGCTGAATAATAATTATAATCATTAAATTTGATCGAAAAAATAAAAATTACGTAATAAGAATTTCTTTCGAGCGGAAAAATGTCACTTTAGTTATGTATATTGGTTTACAGCAAAAAAATTTTATGGAGGCAAGCTTCATTTAACTGGTGTGGAGTCCACTGATATACATATGTACATATTAATTAATTTTAATTAATTAAAAATCAGTATTGGAAATAGTACCCAAAAAGTAGTAAAACTAATCCTAATCTTTTCGCCCTTTTTCTACTACCCTCAAATGTATGGCCGCAATTGGCATGCAGATAAGGTGACGTTATGTAAGTGACATCACCTTATATTTATTTCCCCATATTTAGTGTATGTAATTTATGTAATTTTGTTTAAATTTTTTGTTTTCTGAAAAAAGTATAATAAATAAAAAGTTGAGGTTTTTGGCCGAAATTACGATTTCTTCAGGGTAAAATTACGATTTTTCAGCAAAAGCCAAACGACAACAACATCAATCAGCGTTGCCAAGTTTTCATTTTGAAAAAGCACTAAAACCCAAGAAAAATCGCGTTTTTTCTCGAAAAAAGCACCAAAGCTTTATTGGAGTATTTAAGGGACTTTGTATGCATGAAAAGTTGTATTTTAGGGATGCCGATTCAAATTAATAAAAATCAATGTTTTTTGCTCGACGTTCGAATTTATTCTGTTTTCTATAATTTCCGACGTTAAGATTCTTGTTCTTATTTTCTAATTTGCCGTTGTGTCCAGCGTTGCCGTTTCGCTTATATTATTTTTTCCTGATTGTTTAAATGTTCAAATTTTCTTCGTTTTGCTTAATTTTTTCTACAATTCCTATCAAACGAAAGCAAAAACCAGAAATCAAGTTTCATGAACTATGTGGTAGTTTAAATCTACTCTGCAGTCTCTTATGATCTTGTGAACTAAAAGAACGTAAAGAACCTGCCTTTCCGACCGCTTAACACCTAAAACACAACGAAATTGAATTTTGCTTTTTAATGTGTTTTATTTGAGCATAGTGGGAAAAATATTTTTGTGTCAAAAAAGCTGTCTACTCTTCAAACCCAACCCGATTTTTTATTATTCTCTATATTGTTGGTAAACATATGCTCTCCCGCTTATGATTGTCATTGTGACATGATTTTGTTTTAATTTTAGTAAAGTTTCTTACAAAACTTACGATTTCTATAAATTTTGCCTTCTTTTTGTTAGGATTTACAGATTTGGTGTCTTCAAACTAAAACTAAAAGCACCAAAAAGACGCACCAATCACTAAACTCTAAAATTTGCACGTTTTGAATAAAGAAAACCACTAAATTTAATACGAAAAGCACAAGTTGGCAACAGTAACGTCAATACCAATTACAACATGTTTCTGGAAATTGCAAAAACATATTTCAACCCCAAACTAACAAAAGTTGTGTTTTTTTACAAATTATCCAGTAACTTGCCAGAAACTCTCCATTAACTTTATTTCTAAGAATTCGCTCTCATAGAAAAAATTTGCAAAAAAGTACGCGAACGCTTTTCCAGTAATAATTTGCAAGTTTCATGAACAGCTGATAAATTGGTTGTTTATTCGCAGTAAATTCCTAATAAAACAATATATTTTGTATTTAAATAGGTTTATTTTGTGAAATTCAACAACAAAAACCCACAAACAGTTTCTTTATTAGTTTAAATATTCAATAACAGAATAACATGAATGTTAATAAAACGAACAGGGGTAAAGGTAGCGATCTAGATAGAAAAAAGAGAAAAAATATAACCTTAAGCAAAAGCAGATGTGTGTATGTATACATTGGTTATGAGACAAAATAAATAAGTAACGTAAGTTTCACTTCTCTAGTGTGGCCCAGGCGCACTTACTTTTTTTTACCTCGCTTTTATGAGCCTGGGATGTAAGTTTGTTTAGCATATCTTTTGAAAATTTCCATTGAAATGCAATTTCGCGTTGGTATCTTCGACCAAAACACGTTTTTGTCGAAAAATGTAACAACTCGTGAGATTTGCTCATATAGCGAAATGCTCTTTTCCGAAGCTAGCTTGGTTTGCGAAAATAAGAGAAATCTCCTACTGCGCTGAAAACTTAGCTTTTGTTCACCAATTTTTAATTTCGAGTATTAATTTTAATGAGTTTAATAATTGAACGATTTTCCAAGTTTTTGTTTTGTGTTTTATTATTACTTTTCCACCTTTAAATAAAATCCGCCAAAATTTGTCACAAAGAAAGATCCTTTAACTTTGAATAATAATGAGAAACTATCCGGTAATCTGGTAAGCCGGATAGCTACCGGATAATATTTCATTTCTAACATGTATTATTTTGAACGAAATTATGGCAGCGCAGTGGTGCCGTAACGTTAATAAAAAACTAAATTTTATATTTTAAATTTTTTTGGCAAAGTCGTCAGTTACGACACTATTAAAATTTTCTTGCGCGAAATCGTACATTTTGGTCAAGACTTGGACATAAGAAAGTTAGCTGTTTTGTTATTTAGCTATTGTGGAATGTAAGTTATGGAAGGCAAATTTCTTTCTTCTGAGACATAATCGGCAAATATCGTTGTAATTTGCTCCACTAAATGAGCAATATGCCTTATCGTCATGATCCATACAGTTAATCTTTTAAGGTGTTCCCATTTAAGCTTACAGTTACATAATTAGTAAACAAACCTTTACAGTTTTGTTGGGACTGTACTTAAAATGGCCTTTACCTATGTAATCTTTGACTAATGTTAACAAAAGTGTCACGAAGTGTAGCAGATTTATATTCAAGCATGTACATATGTATATATGTATATTTGCCCAGCCAACATTAAAAATAACAGCTAATTTTTAAGGCACGTACAATCTACACATTTGCTTGTGTACATATATCCAGGTATATATTTTAAAAAGTGCTAAGTAAGAATAACGAGTATGTAAATAACTTTGCGCGAAATAATTACTTACATATGTAGGTATGTGATTCATGTATGCATGAACATTAGGGTCGCAAAATATACATGCGGAGGAGAAAATGGTTTAAATGTTAAGCTCTCACACCCTACGATTTTTCCAAATGGGAAGAAATAATACCCATATTTTTTTATTTAAAAAAATTGAGATCTATAACTGCCTCAAAGTCGTTTTCCATGTACTATTTTATATGGGGAAAGAAGACTTTTTCGTAGAAATGGTATAGAATTCTTGAAAATGAATATTTTTTCGATCCGAAAACTCCAAAAACAATACAGAATTGTTTATTTAACCATTTTTTAATATTAAGGATTTTTTAAAAATTATTAGCATTGAAAAATTGTAAAATAAACAATTGGGTATTATTATTGGAAGTCTCCGGAAGAGACTTTGAGGAAGTTCTAAACAGTTTTTTTTTAAACAAAAAAAAATGCGGGTGTTTTTTCCATTTAGAACAATCCTAGCGGTAGGTAAACTTTGTTTACTACCCTAATGTACACATGAAAATATATACTAAAAAACTTATGTGTACATACGTATATTTAACAACGGTATACAGTACTCAAATGGCTATATACGTATGTACATACTTTTTAAGTAAAAACTCTACTAAATATTTGCACGTTTTATTAGCATCTCGTAGGCTGTGGAAATTAGAATCTCTATTTCTAAGTGAATTCGCGCGCTTGAAATATCTAATTGGACTTAGCAAAAAATTGAAAGTTATAAGTATGTTCGTAAATACACGTTTAATACATATCGTATCTCTTTAATGCCAAAGTGCCTTAATCCGAAAAATCAAGAACTCGAGAAAAACGGGTTTAAAGTTTACAGTTTATACAGCTCCTATAGTGAGAATGAGGGAGTATCTATTCGCACTTTGCCAGTGTCACCGGTGTACCAGTGTCGGAAGTCTTTGACTTCGACGAATATAAAACAATGTTTTAATAGATGGTGAAATCTGCCTATTTCGTTTGCGGTGCTCTTCTATATAAAATAATATAGCCACACTGGTGACACTGGGACCCTGGTGAAACTGGCGATACTAGCAACACTGACGACATTGGTGACATTGGCGACACTGGTGACATTGGCGACACGGGTGACACTAGTGACACTAGTGACACTAGTGACAATGGGGACAATGGTGTGTGTTGATATGTTTTGATACAGTTTTTTGTTTGAAGCCAAGGCTCGACAAGTGCATACATGTGTATGTGTGTATGTACATATTACTATATAGTAGGCTGTACCATTGAGCGATTTCTCGCAAACATACGATCGTGAGATTATTAAAAAATTGTAGTGTAAGAAAAAACTAGTTCTAAAGCCTAAATGTTTACATTGCACTTTTCAACATTCGTGATTTTTATAAACTAAAGTATGTAAATGGTTTTTGAATATTCATAAAGATTATATTCGCAGAAATACATACAGTAGCTCACTGAAGTATTTTGCATGGATAACACATGACCTCTCACCCCTCTAAGCCTGCACACAAAAAGGACTAGGTGTACCTCATGTTTTTGACATCGTTGAATCCAAATCCTGTGTGCGTTTGACCAAATCAGGTCAGGAGAAAAGGAGGACTACTTGCCGTACTACGACCCGTACTATCCTTCCATAGGTTCTGAGGCAGCTGTATGACTCATTGGAAATTTAAATGATTCAACTTTCACAGGCGATTAGTTGAACCAAATGTTGAACGCAAGTAGGCAGCTGACCAACGTCATTGAAAGCGATTAGTTGAAAGGCCATTTACAGCAGGCAGCTTCTGCATGCAATTAAAAGTTGTCTGTAAAATCACTTCATGTAAACTCCCCATTACTGAAATTCATTAATGCCGGCAAATGCATATAGCATGACTAATGTAACCAACCGTACTTATTTCGGAAGTACAGTACTTCTTTTTTCGCTCTTGTACTTCGTACTTTGAAGTACTGTCAAATGTACTTCTTTGCGATATTTTTTACTTCAGTTCCTGTACTTCTTCTATCTTCTGGACGATCGGCACATGACCATTAAAGAGGCCTGGGAACGATGGCATCATACCTGCATAGCTACAAAGGGCTCTGGAGGTGTCGTGCAATTGGTTGGCTCCTATTTATGCGAATTGCGTGAGGACCGGATACATCCCCAGGGATGGAGGGTAGTCACTTTTTTGCAAGAAAAGGTCGGTGAATACCGCCCTGCACACATTGGTAGAGTGGTCAGAGGAGACCTTCACGCCTAAAACCTATGCAGTAGGGGCCTTCTTCGATATCGAGGTGGCCTTCAACAATGTCATTCCTGTGACAATAGTCAAGACTATTCATAATCTGGGGGTTGAGACCAACCAAATAAGGCTTATATACAGCTTACTTCGTAACAGAACTGTCACGGCGGAGTGGAGGCGCCTGCAATCACCACTCCGCAAGGTGGTGTTCTCTCTGTCGTGCTCTGGATTGTGGTTGTAAACGACCTTCTAGAGGAACTGGAAAAAGTGGGCTGTCGCGTGATCGTAACTAGGTGGGCAATCAACGGCGGGAAGCTATCGGTAAAAGGTGAGGTTTCTCGCCCAAATTAATTCATTAGCACCAGGAACCAGATTTAA